CAGTGATGATGTATCTTGTCAGCACTGATGCCCTAGGCTTTTATTTCGATTATAGTTTTGTTTTACTTACATTACTTACATCACATATATTTTGTCAATAAAATAAAACAATTGTTTATAAAATCGTTTTAGCAATTTTCTTGTTTTTAATTGCCCAGTTTTATGCTTTGTGCGTTTATTTTCCATAACGGTTGTTTGTAACAGCCAAAACGAATCGAGATAGATATAGACAAATGTATACATAAATGCTCAGAATGAATAGAGAAATCGATTAAGCCATGTCAATAATTAAACCATGCAAGCAAGTATGGAAGAGCTTAAATTAAAACCGCTCGAAGCAAGGTCTTTAATGGAAAACTATTTCGCATGAAAAAAATTTAATTTCAAATTTTGTTTGAGTTAAGCTCACATATAAAATTGGTAAAAAATGTAAAATCATGCTTTTATAAGTGTCGAATAATGCTTAGGATAAAAAATTGAAATTTAAAAATAAACTCACAAAAGCATAAAACCAGGGCAATTAAAAACAAGAAAATTGCTAAAACGATTTTATAAACAATTTGTTTTATTTTATTGACAAAATACATATATGTGATGTAAGTAATGTAAGTAAAACAAAACTATAATCGAAATAAAAGCCTAGGGCATCAGTGCTGATAAGATACATGCAGCACTAAGGGTTAATTTGTTTGTTTATACTTTTTGACATTATAGTACCAAAAGAGAGCCGCACTGAGTTGTCAATCACACCTTGTTTAATACACCTTGGTTCTACCCAAGGTACATTGAACAGGTAGTATCAGTAGAGCAGCTGATTTGATTTATTTTCAAATTATTTGGTCTCGAAAATGTCAAATATTTTTAATTTTTTCTCACGAAAATTATAAGTTGTTAAAATCCATTTGCTTGTGAAACCTTTTTCCATACAAAACACGCGATTGAATAGCAGCTTTTGGAACGTTCGCCCAACGACCGCTGATTACTGGGCCTTGCAAAGGATGGATCAATGCTTCGAGAAGCAAACAAATTTACTAGGAAAGAAAGTTGCATCAATTTTTATTTCTTCCAAATTTCAATTTTTTATTTTTTATAATTTTTTGTATCTCACATGGCACGCTTTGATTTAGAAGAAAAAATTCAGAACAGTTGTTGACACTTTCGATACCAGAAGCAACAACAAAATTTACGCAAATGTTGTTTTTGCTCTACTGATACTACCTGTTTAATGTGCCTTGGTTCTACCCTCCTATTTTTTTATCATGAAATTTCCGATGGATGCGGGTTAAATGAGAACTCGCCGAAGTAAAATATCATGACAGCATTTGTTTTTGTTTTTTATTCCATACCAAACACTAAAAATCGCATTAAACATTTTAACATAAATTTTTTGAGCAAAAGTAAAAAGCTAAACAATTTTAAGAAATAGCTAAGAAGCTATACAGTATATTTCGGGATAAAACCAAATAAAACAAGCTTAATCTAGCCGGAAAATATCTGATGGTGACCTGTATGAACTTTACGCCGTCATGGACGTAGCAAATTAAAATACACAAATTTTCCAGCTCTGGTAACAAAGGAAGAGAAATCAAAAACCAACGCAATTCTACATATGTAATGCTGTGCCTTGGATAACCGCTCACACGCAAAGCCCATTTAACAGATTCCTTATGCAACAACTCTCATCCAAGGCCGCCAAGTATGCATAACTGATCCTTAAGGCCTCCTCTGCGATGAAAAGGCCAGGGGTGGCTAAGTTCTTGGCTTAGGCGGCTACAGCGCCAATCAACAAAACGAAGAGTATGGGTAATGGAAAGAAGAAATTTCACTGGCAATCGCAAAAAATAGTTTCAACCAGAATATCCAACGAACATCAACTCGTGCTCGTTAGAGCTCAGTACACCATGGACAAATAGCGGTATCTCGACGAACACCAGCTTCTCAATGCCCTATAGATCTGTCATCATTTTCGTCTCTTTATTAGGTGCAGAATAGTGGACGATATCGAATAAAGATGGGAGAGTGTTGAGTGACAACTGTACGAGATCAATAAGGTTATTGACCTAGTCAAAATCTAAGAACTAAATTCCAGGGACCGTAATCATTATAAGTAAATAATTTAAATTATTATTTTAATTTTTTCGCTCAAGGGAAATAATTATTATTTGATTTTAAATTTTTCGATCACAAATACTGATTATTTTATGATTTTTATTTTTTCGCTCAAAGATAATTCTTTTTATTGAATTTTTTCCACTTAAAAATAATGATTATTTATAAAATTTAGGAGGCCATATAGTTTTGGAACTTATTCCTTTTATTAGGGTGTAGCTTAATAAAACCGAAATAAATGCTTCATGCAAATGACGTAACTTCGTAGATATGTATATATGTATGTATGTAGACAAACAGTTCATTTTTATCAATTTATAGGCGCATTCAGCTTAACAAATTCATCCACGTTCTCCTGTTTTCCCTCCCAATCTATGTTAGAATTCCATACACGAAGCTCATTAAAACGATACAGTCCATACTTAAAAATCTCTTCTATGTGTGAGGTTTTCAGGATAATCTCATACTCTTGTTCAAACGAAATTGGCACAATTTCCTTATTTCTCGTATCCCCCAGTATATAGCATTTCGGAAGATCGCTTTTCACCTGACAAAATGGCATTTCACAAAGTAAACCATAAAAACCGATAAATTCAAATTCATGCACGTCATCCAAAATTGTCTGCCAACTGGGAATGGAGTTTTCGTTTAAAGTTTTCAATGTTGCTGAGAAATGTTCATAGTAGCAATGAAGAAGTTTATAACGTTCCCGAGTCAGAGCATCGAAGTTCAAACAGGTCTTGAGGAATAAATTCAAATCATAGCCACAACTGCCAATGAAGCAATTTTTGAAGTTACACTGCCAAAATAAATAAATATTAAATATGTATTACGGCTCTATTCTGTATCAGTGACAAATTGTTGTCACAGTTTTTTTCCAGAAAATATATGAAAAAGTTTAAATTTGTCAGTAAAAATATTTTCCATTTACATACATATAGGTACATATGTGATAGGGCGAGACAATTTTTTTGACAATGTGCGTATAGCATAGGGGGATTCTACATGTAGTTCTAAGCAAATTTGCTTCTAAAACCACCTTATCACCCTTATAGCATGTTTTTATACAAAATTTAAGCACTTCTTTAAGACACTACAGCAAAATACTAAGAAACCCATCTTCGCAATTTAGAAAACTCCAAAATGGTTTTCGACCCATGGTTTCTTCGGCAAATTTGCTTAGAATTACACGAATAATCCTTCTGTGCTATACGCGCATGGTCGAAAAAATCTCCCACACATATTGATTCGCCCTAATATCCACTAGAAAAAGTTTCCGCACAGAGATTTTTTTACCAAGTTCAAACTAGAGGTATTCATCTAACGTCACATACAAATTTATAATTTGATCGGCAGTTTATCATTTTATGTCAATATCCCTTTTATTTTAAATAAAACAATTTAAACTATTTAAATAAAAGTTTCAAACTTAGAATAAAATTTTGATAAATTTGCCAAATTTTCAACAAAATATCAAAAATTTTTGTCAGAATTACTGATGGGGTTTTTTTTTAAAGTTGTAGATTTTCATTCACATAAAAAAAATTCAAACACACTTTATATGGAAGAAAATTCGTGACACCGTCAGCAAAAAATTCCCAAAAATCAAGAGGATTTTGTGCAAACCAGCGTACCCAAAAATTTTATAGAAATTCTGACAAAAAGGTTGGAAATTTTGCTGAAATTTTTTTTGCTCAAATTGAAAATATTGCAATTTTTTTTAATTTTATACAAAGTTTGGAATTATGTATATTCAAATGGTTTATTTTAAATTAACAATATTTTAATAAAAATTAAGAATTTTTTTTAATAAAAGTACTATGAATATTAAAAAAAATCTCTTTACGGAAACCTTTCCCAGTGGGTATGTATGTATTCATGAATGCATCCCCGCATACACATATTAAATTTACATACAAACAAAACATCTTCTACTCGTTCAGGATTTCCATATCTGTTTGTTTGGCATCGAAAATGCATATTTTTCATGTATGGTTCACCAAGTGCGATAACTTTCAACGTTTGCCCATTTCTATCCAACAGATGAGTTAAACGTTTGCGAAATGTTTCCACACAGCTGCGCATTTTTGTAGTGCTTTCTTTAAATTCTGGCCAATATGCTTCTATAGTTTTAATGGCAGCATACATGCGGGTTTCCACTTCATTATTAGCCAATAAGGGCGAAGTCTTAGATATAATATTATCTATGGAAATCTTTGACAGAAAAAAATTGATTGAACGTACATAAATATATAAAAAATATATGCGGAGATATAACCTTTTTTAAATACACCAAAGAACAAGCATGAAATTGGGCCAATTTTCGCAAAACGGTTTTTGCATCAGATGACGCCAGACTACTCCAGGCAATGTTTCCACTTGGTTGGTATTCCAAAAACATGAAATTATCTTTAAAGTAAAAGTTTCTGAAAGAAAATTAGAAATCCAAATACATGTGTATGTACATATGTATGTATGTACACTATGTATACAAGGAATAAACTGCAGAACAAAGTTTTTCTACTCACTCTACGCCGAATTTCGTCACATGGCCATTCCAAATGACGTTGTGTTCTTTAAAAATTTCCTTAATTTGAGGTAAGACCACCAAATGCATCGTAAACTCATTGGAATTACTCGCGTCTGAAGTTGAATCTTTTACAACGGCCGTGAAGCAGTTAGTCCCTTGTTTAGTGGAGGGCTCATTCGCTTTTTCGAACTGGTATCTAACATCAATTCTTCGGCTATCGTCCTCTGAAGAGTACTTGACATCATATCTAAATTTTAAACAGTTGGTACCCTCCGTACTAAATTTGTCTTTCAAGCAGCGGCTAATAGCATCATTAAGACGATTTGGCATTTTCAAGGTTTTGAATGTTTAAATAAAATTTTAATTAATTAATACAAAAGACAAATTGTGCGAAACTTTAAAGAGCTTTGCCGATAAACATATATGTATGTATGTACATACATATGTGCATATGTGTAATCAGAAAAGTCAGCACGAAATTAATTTCGAAAATGTGGTTTCTTTTAAAGGCGAATGCATGGCTTATATGTAAATACGGTGACCATATCTAATCTAGCCAAATTAGGGAACAAAAAATCTTATTGGAATTTTTCTACAAAAGCTAATAATTTCTAAATGTTCTTGGTTAAAAAGACAGGAATATTTCAATAATATCTACTAACAGACACTAACTAAGCACAGAAACCTAGTCGGCAGTACCGTTATTCATTGATTTTTTATTTTTATTTTTTTTTAATAGTACGCTTAATTAGAGTGCTTGCCAATAAGACGACAGCGGCCGATATGGTTAGAGGTGCGCCCGGCCACCCGGTAGGTGCAGTCGATCTCTGGACCGAGCATCATCCAAAAAAAAAACAAGTTTTTTTCTAACAGCGGTCGGAATGACAAACCTCCGACTGTATTTCTGCCACGAAAAAAGCAAATTAAAACCATTTGCCATTCGAGGTCGATGTAAATTTGTAGGTCTCTCCACACTTTGTGTGAAAACATCAAGGCACACACTACAAATTTTAATTTTATTTATGTTTTCTGCCCCAAATAGACTTACATACATAATAATAAAATATTAAGCAGTCTCACTTTGCTAAATTAAAACTAAACTTTTGATATAACGGACCAAGAATCTACATATATTTTTAGTACTTTCCAAACTAAGTTTTTTACTTTCTAAAAAGATAAATCCTACCGAATTTGTATTATTAAAAGAAAGTTAAAGCATTTATTGGGTGGTATGTATAGTTTATTTCAATGAACTAGGAAAACTTATTATTGGATATAGGACAAGTAAAGAAATTCAGAACATTTTGCGACCCATAAAAACTAAATAAATTACCAGGACAATTGACTAAAAAAGTGGACTGTCCCGTACAATATAGGACCGATGGTCACCGCACTTATATATTATACATATACATATGTACATATATGAGTTTACCTTAATTCTTTTTATTCAGATCCGTTATTCTACTTTTCAGTAATACCAATGTTTTTTTTTGGTAAGTAGCTTTTTCTACAACTTGACACTCCCACACTCAGTGATGTTTTTTGGAAGATGGGGAAAAAGGAGAAGAATTCATTCCGACTTCCTATAAAGGTAGCGAAATTCCACAAAAAGCTGTACACAGTAATATTTTTGGAGTATGGGACTACCACGGAGGCACTACCTTTCCTATAGAATAAGAATTATCGAAATCGGCTGACGTGGTCCAAAGTTATGCGGTAACATACATACATAAAAACAAATAATATTCCGGCGAATTGATAACCTTCTCCTTTTTTGAAGTCGGTTAAAATTGATTAACTTTAATTATTTCATTTAAACTAGCTTATTTACATCAAATATAACCTCAAAAATCAGATCCGGAAATACTCTAACTGCTTGTGGATCGTACAGATTCAGGTGTGACAGTATTTTTTTGTGTTAGAGAATATAATTAAGAAGCAAACATTTTTTGCATTAAGAAAAAAAATCTACCAAATTTTTATTTTCATTTTTTTGAGTTCTGCCTCTTGAAGTTGCATTCGTAAACCGAGAGTAGATGCTCTACTTTGAGCTTTTTATACCCGAGCGCGCTCGTGAACCACTTTGTTCACGTAACGGTTGTTTGTAAGAGCCTAAAGGAATCGAGATATATGTAGGTCAATGTATACATAAATACTGAGAATGAATAGAAAAATCGATTAAGCCGTAAGTAAAGTAAAAATTTTGACGGACGGTATTGAAAATGGGCCAAATCGGACACTAACTATGCCTATCTCCCAAATATCGGTAGTTGGCGGAAATACTCGTCGGCGAACTCATTACCTTCGATTCCACAATGGTCTGGTACCCAGCACTGTGTTACCGTATTTTTGGCCGCCAAAATTTGTTGTGTGTCAAAGCAGTATGTATTTAACCAGCTGGTATTTCATCGTCCTGTTTGCAGGGGCCGGAATTGCTGCTTGGCTATCTGCAAAGATAACCTCTTTAAAGTTTAATTTTGCGCAGTTTAAAATTGCGACTATTTCAGTCTGAAACAACGAGGAAATTTGTTTATGGGAATTGCAAGTTTGGTGCTAGCTCCAAAAATATCTGCACCTGCTTTGTCCTCCATCCTTGAACCGTATGTGTACCAGTTGACGTATCTGCGGTCAAGGGCGCAGGGAGCGCATTTCGCGATCGTGGATTCTCACGTGGAACTTTATGTCCATCACTTTCTGGAATCAGAAATTTCTCATATTTCTAACCCTGGTGTATCTTTCCAAGAATGCCTGCATGCAGCTTTTTTGTGTGGAAGACATTGTTAGATAGTCGAAGTTTCACATCCCTCGTGGCTGCTTTTTCCTGGATAAAAACATGAAGAGGAGGCCATCCTAGAAACGACTTTAGAGCCCCAGCTAAGCACATTCTTATTGATTCAGACACGGATAAGCATTCCAATCCTTTCAGTTTGTCAAGGCGTAGTACAGCAGTTTTTTGCAGTGTCTTCTGCCACCACGCAATCGGCCGGAGGATCATACGATAGAGCCACTCTGTCACCCTTGAAATCAATCAGCATTTTCTGCCATAAAGTCTTCTTCAGGCCCACATGCCCAGTGCGATTTTAGCAACAGTTCTCTCAAGATGGGAGTTTCAGATAAGTCTCTTATCCAGTTATTGCACCTCATCGGAGTATGCAAGCACTGTCGCTCCAAGAGTGACCGGATCAAGGTTTGCTTCAAGAACAGCCTTCTGAGGATTTATGCTGGGCCCTCATTGGCACACCAATTTGAGACCACGCGAAGAATTTTCCAGTAACTATAATATCTCTCAAGATGGGAGTTTCAGATAAGTCTCTTATCCAGTTATTGCACCTCATCGGAGTATGCAAGCACTGTCGCTCCAAGAGTGACCGGATCAAGGTTTGCTTCAAGAACAGCCTTCTGAGGATTTATGCTGGGCCCTCATTGGCACACCAATTTGAGACCACGCGAAGAATTTTCCAGTAACTATAATATCTCTCAAGATGGGAGTTTCAGATAAGTCTCTTATCCAGTTATTGCACCTCATCGGAGTATGCAAGCACTGTCGCTCCAAGAGTGACCGGATCAAGGTTTGCTTCAAGAACAGCCTTCTGAGGATTTATGCTGGGCCCTCATTGGCACACCAATTTGAGACCACGCGAAGAATTTTCCAGTAACTATAATTGCCATCTCACAGCCTCGTAATCGCATTCATGTTGTCTGATAAAGAGATCGTCTACCACAAGTGACCAAAGCAAGGGAGGAAGGGCTTTTCCGTGTGGGCAGGCTCTCGTGGCTCTGATATTCACTTGAGTATTGCCCAAGGAAAATGTATGTAATTACACGCTCACGAAGCATAGCGTCGATCCAACCAATAGTAGTAGGGCCTAAGACTAAAGGAGAGCGACCTCCTTGTCCTCGAATGTGATTTTGATCTTACTAGCCAGATACTCTAAGGCCACATCCATTGATTTCCCTTTGACGTTAGCAAATTGAGTGTTATATAAGAAAGTGGAAGCGCTAAGTTTCTCCCTAATATGGAGGTCTTACAGTGCAGAGCCGCGTCTTAGCACCCACAAAGACAACATCTTAGTAGGAAATCGATCGACGCCCACCAGCATTGAGCAAACATAACTGTTCAGAGACCAGACACTAAGAAGTGACAAACACCTGTCCAGCGTGCAGGCAAGGTCCTCATAACATCCAACATCCTCAGGCATCTGCAACGTACCCGACACCGGAATCTCTATTGACGTCACACGCTTTCTTGACCTGGGGTTCGCCGTTTCCGAGGATGAAGAGTCAAGCACTTAGCTAGGCCTCTTGGGGGAGTTGAGCCTTACTGATGCAACAACAGCAACACAATGGACAAATGAAGTGAAAGGTCGTGGTTATGCAGACAAACTTTTGTTTGCCAAATTAAATGGCGGCTGCTTAGTTTGCTCGGAGGTGGTTATGTCGAGTTTGGCACAGGGTTGCGCGTTCATTATGGTTTTCATAGCTATTGCCAACACGAAATGAGAATTTCAGATGTACATAACGCGCACAATTAATATTTTTTTTTTATATTGCATAGGCAGTTAACTGTGCCCTAATCTTTGAAGCTCCTACAGCATAAATTCAGTTTTCTGGCTTTCGGTATCACGGCAATTTTTGTGTATAGCAACAATTGTCTAAAATTTTTGTATATGACAACACCGAATTTGCTGCAGTTTGACCAAACAAAATTAGTTTGCTGTGAGAGTCGCCAAACTCGCTCTCTCCGAGTTTGCTGCAACAACAATTACAAGCAGTTTGCCAAACAAAATTTCTGCATAACACCGACCAAAGAGGAAATGTTTGCATTTGGTATGAATAACTGCGTTTAAATGTTACACTAAAAAAAAATATTTCTCTGCGGTGGAAACTACTTTGACCAGATATATAAACTTGAGGATCTTATTTTGTTAACATTTTTTTTTTTAGCAAATGAAATCAAAAGTAAAATATAAATCTTATGTTTAACTACTGTCCTAGCAGTGGCCCATGACCCACAAACGTGTTTGTGAACATGATTTTGCACTAACAAAATATAAAGGCACATAGTAAGAAAGTGAAATCTTGTACGCCAATGGAAAACGGGGAGCAGAAAATCCAATCTTACTACAACTAGAAAACCAGAATCCAATTCGGCCGTCGCATTAAAAATCTGATGGCCAAAGAAGACTAGAACTCAAAATAAGAAACATGAAATAAATAAGAAAAGAAAATAAACATTAACATTAACACAAAAACACAAGAGGTAGAACCGGTTTACGAGTAATTGAAATCATGGTGGGGCATAAAGACAACTTGGGTACAGCATGGACAAAACAAAAACCTGCAAGAACTCAAAAGGAGATAAGAAAATAATACGTGGATAAAAAAAAACTAAAGGTTGAGAAAAACGCTCAAAAAATAAGAACAGCTAAAACTTAAAAACAAAGATACACACCTTCTTGCATACACTCTGGCATGCTTATGTACATGCACACATACAAAAAAAGAACTCAACCAAATCTCGTAGCTGTCGGCAAAAAAGAAATCGAAGTGGCAGAAACGAAAATCAAGAAGGCAACACAGCAAAATTAAATAAGTCGCATACATATATATATACAGCAGGACGATAAGGAGTAAACAATAAAGTTCCAATTGAAAGTAAACTCGATCGATCATTTTCTGTAAGTGTATAGGTGGAATAAACCCCCAAAAAGGGTGTTAAACAAACCCTCGCTTTCGCACTCCCATGTCCATGCACTCACAGCTGAGAGGGCAATACAAAAATTTTAAATGCTTACAGAACACCCTGTGCCACAGCGCTGTTAACGCTCCATTTACAGAGAACGTAAATTTATACTTAACGTTCTCTGACCGTATCTCGTCTCTTTTATTTCACACTTGTGCAATTGGGTGTGCAGCCAACGAATTTGTGTGTAAACATTCGAAAGCAGAGAAAACTACAACCACCACCACGGCCGTAAAGACGCCAGAATATTTCTTGTGCGTAGTTTTTATATTTATAATTTTGTGCTGCCTGCTTATGCTGGCAATTGTACAAACGATTTTTCGACGGATGATGGCAAAGTAAAAATCCAAATTTGTTTCCCAACGTCAGTACGTCGAGAGCGTTCAGCGAGTACAAGTCATTCGTTTATAAACAGTCTGATAGTGGAGAGTCGCATTGCGTTTGCTGTGCATTTGTACGTAGAATTTCGGACGTACGTACTGTAAAAATAACAATAACTGTATAAAAAGTGTAATTAAACCCTCAAATTTGTGTTCTGTGATAAATTTTTTAACAAAATTTGGTTTAAAAGAACACAAAAGTGTTTGGAAAAGCTCGCTGCTATATAAGCAAATCATTGAGGCAACGAGTAAACTTTTGACATTTCGTGTTGTTGCTTTGGTGGAGAGTAGCGCACATACATAAGAGCGTATAAAAGAGACAAAGTGGAGCTGCTGTGCAAGTTGTACCATGAGACCTGCAAGTGGGGGCGATGTATTGAAAAAGTACATATAGTAAAATTTAAATTTTTATAAGTGCTAGAAAGGTGGAAAACTTGTGCGTGTCAAGTAAACAATTTGCATGAAAAAGTGCATTGTATCATAAATTATATTGGAACTCCCAGTACCAGTTATCGCCAGTGGGCGCAGGTTAGGTGGAGCAGGCTGCTACGAAACTGTACCCCAAAGTGATTCGCACCACTCGAATGTACTAGTGCTAGTGTGGACGAATTATCGCATATAAAAAGCAAAAGTGGGGAAATTAATAAGTTTTGGCGCGAAAACTTTTGACAAGTGCCAAGTCTTTTGGCATTGGAGACCGAAGATCCAGCAACAAGTCAACGTGATTGAGGGAATTGATGAAAAACACTGGTCGCGTAAAACAACGCAATTGGCAAAGTGTATAGCAGGAAAATTTTTATTTTATTTTGCTTCGCTTTGCATAATTGAACAAAAAATAATAAAGAAAAAACGCGTTAACTTCAAGGTTAAGTGTTGTTGCAAGCAATTTGTTGGCATAACACAATAAGTAATCACTTCACATAAAAAAAGCAAAGCAATTTAATTGCAAAAGACCGAAAGTATATACATAGTGTATGCTGAAACTATAGGTTATTAAAAGTGCAATTAACAGAATTTTATCAACGCCTTCATCCTACCTTGCATTCGTGTGTCAAGCAAATTTTGTAAAGTACATTAAGTGATGACTGCGGCGCGTGTCCTTAATCCAGTAATATTAACAGAATTTTGTAAACTGCGCGCCAGTCCAAGCACAATGGGACGTAATGTGACTTGCAATCGTCAGTTGAATCGCATCAAGCGTGATCTCTTTGGACCAGCAAACCCGGTGGAAACACAAAAGTAAGTACTGATTACAGATAGTAAATTGAAATGATTTATTGGAGTAATGAAAGTACCGGAATTTGACTTTCAGTTTAAGGACCAAGAAAGTGGTTGTTTTTGTTGTAACAGCATAACAACTCGCGAAGGATTTTGGGAAATATGTACTCCCGAAGTGACATGACATTTCTTGGCAAGAAATAATGCTGGTTCCTTCCGGCAAAGTTGAGCCGAGCGCGTTTGGAATGTCCACGAAGTCGTTATGTGACTTCAGCGCTAGAGCGACGTTGTGAGTCCATTGTATCCTTCGGAAGCTACTGGGGCTAGAACGCGCTTGAAAAAAGCGCGCTTTCCAAATGAGGCCGCTTGCACAAATTTTTATCATTCTTTGGGCTTTACATTCATAAAAATTGTTGCAATCCCTTCTGAAAACAAAATATTTCAATCGAGTATTTTACCACTCGGAGAAACCTCTACATTACTTTTGTCGTAGCGGCAGGAAATTTATTTTTTAAACTTTTAAAATAACAGTTCCCCATCGGCTATTATCGTATTTATGTACGTACATACATATATCTATAGTCTTTTTCGAACAGGAAATTTCTTATTCAATTTATCTGTTGAAGTAATAGGACAAGTCATCTAAACGCGTAAATGCCTCGTCCCTATGTCAGCCTCGTAAACTTACTGAATTTTATATGGAAAATCGGTTTGCTTACGCGGTTACGAGGTATTTACGCGTTTCCATGAATACCAACAGTTTCACTTCAGTTAAGTGAAAAATTCAGTTACTCTATTAGCTGAATTTACTCTACACTGGTGGCAGAAATAATGGAACCGTCATATTTTGACTAGTTTTGGTTATATTTCTTTGATCTATTTAATATATATATTTTTTTTATAAAAGTCTAGCTAGTTATACAATAAACACAAAAAAATCCACATTTCAAACTTGTACAAAAATTATGAAAATTCAACAAATTTTTACCAAAATTTCAATCTTTATCCAGAATTTTTAGACAGATTTTTGGAATGCAGTTTTTAGCCTATTCAATTTTAGTATAATGAATTGCAAGTTTCAAGCCGCTACAAAATACCGTTAATTTTTGGCAATTTCGTTTGTTGACGGTGCTAAGCATTTTCTTTCATATAAAAATAATCGATGATACCATGATACAAATATAAATATAAATATTTTTATCATGGATGAAACTTTAGGTTTGTTCGTCGAAAATCCAGCAAGAATTATCCAACACTCAAAATATCAGAGAGTAAGAAAAAATTCTCTCAAATTCTCTCTCATGTTGAGAAACTTGCAAATTTCTGCACGAACGCAAATTTGCAGGAATTTGCAAGTTTCCCTGCCAGCTGGCGTCCACGGTTGCATTTCAAACATAAAAAATTTTTTATAGAATTTTTAAAATTCTTTCGGATGGCCAAAAACAGGATATACATGTATATTTCTTGTTGTTCTGACTTTCTTTAACATACATTTCAATTTCTTCATCGT